TTGTAGCTCAGTCTTCACTATTTGAACAGATCAAGGCTCGCCAGTATGATGATCCACATGTAATGGTTCTTCGAGAAACGGTACTACGGGGGTGGTGCCAAGGAAATTACTACTGGCGCGGATGGTGTTCTGCGACTCCAAGATCGTCTATGTGTTCCTAATGTGGATGGACTGAGGAAAAAGATCCTAGAGGAAGCACACAGTTTTCGGTATTCTATTCATCCAGGTGCTACGAAGATGTATCGTGATTTGAGGCATCATTATTAGTGGAGACGAATGAAAAAGGACATAGTTGAGTATGTAGCTAGGTGTCTAAATTGTGAGCAAGTTAAATATGAGCACCAGAGGCCAGGCGACTTACTTCAGCAGATGACTATACCAGAGTGGAAATGGGAACGCATCACTGTGGACTTTGTAGTTGGGTTGCCGCGGACCTTGCGGAAGTTTGATGCAGTTTGGGTCATTGTCGACAGGTTGACCAAGTCGGCACACTTTATTCCTGTTGTGACTACGTATACTTCAGAGAGGTTGGACCAAATATATATTTAGGAGATAGTTCGGTTGCACGGCGTGCCAATTTCCATCATATCAGATAGAGGCCCTCAGTTTACTTTACATTTCTGGTGAGCAGTACAGAGTGAGTTGGGGACCCGTGTAGAGCTCAGCACAGCCTTTCATCTGCAAACTGACGGGCAGTCAGAGCGGACAATTCAGATTTTGGAGGATATGCTCAGGGTATGTGTGATTGACTTTGGATGTCAGTGGGATCATTTCTTGCCTTTGGCCGAGTTTGCTTATAATAACAGTTACCAATCCAGCATCGAGATAGCTCCATTTGAGGCTTATATGGTCGGCGAAGTCGTTCACCTATCGGATGGTTTGAGCCCGGTGAGACTAAGTTATATGGTACTGATTTGGTGAAGGATGCCTTGGAAAAGGTAAAGTTGATTCAGGAGCGACTTCGTACAGCGCAGTCCAAACAGAAGAGTTACACAGATCAGAAAGCGCGTGATTTATCATTTATGATGGGTGAAAAAGTTCTCTTGAAAGTTTCGCCGATGAAGGGGATCATGAGATTTGGGAAAGAGGGGAATTGAGCCCAAGGTTTATAGGCCCATTTAAGGTATTGAGACGAGTTGGGGAGGTTGCTTATGAGCTTGCATTGCCTCCCAGCCTATCGGGAGTTCATCCGGTTTTCCATGTATCTATGCTATGGAAGTATCATGTCGACCTATCACATGTGTTAGACTTCAGCACAGTTCAGCTAGATAATAGCTTGGGTTATGAAGAGGAGCCAGTTGCCATTGTTGATAAACAGGTTCGCCAGTTGAGGTCCAAGAGGATTTCTGCAGTAAAAGTCCAGTGGAGGGGCCAACCAGTCGAGGAAGTGACTTGGGAGGCCGAGGAAAACATGCAGAGCAGATATTCACACTTATTCAGCACTTCAGGTATAATTCTAAACCCGTTCGAGGACGAACGTTTGTTTAAGAGGTGGAGAATGTAATGACCTAACAGGTAATTTTGACTTTTAAAACCCCGTTCCCTAAAATAAAACTTCTCGTATGTGCTTTTTATGATTTATGACTTGCGGGGATGGTTGGTTCGGGATTTGGAAGTGTTTGGATTGAAATCGGAACACTTGGTTCCTTAAGTTGGCTTTAAAAGGCCAAGTTTGACTTCGATCAATATTTTGAGAAAACGACCTCAGAATAGAATTCTGATGATTCCAACAGCTCCGTATGGTAATTTTGGACTTAGAAGTGTGTTCGGAATTTTATTTGGAAGTCCGTAGTTAAATTAGGCTTGAAATGGCTAAAATAGGAATTTATGTTTGGAAGTTTGACCATGGAGTTGACTTTTTGATATCGGAGTCGGAATCCAGTTCTGAAAATTTTCATAGCTCTGTTATGTCATTTATGACTTGTGTGCAAAATCTGAGGTCAATCGGATTTGACTTGATAGGTTTCGACATCGAAGGTAGAAGTTGGAAATTCTAAGTTTCATTAAACTTGAATTGGAGCATAATTTGTGGTTTTAGCATCGTTTTAGGTGATTTGAGGTTTCAAATAAGTTCGTATGATGTTTTAGGACTTGTTGGTATATTTGGTTGAGGTCCCGAGGGCCTCAGGTGAGTTTTGGATGGTTAACGGATCAAAAGTTGGACTTAAAAAGCTGCTGCAATTTTCCCTTCTGCTGGATATTTTGGGCTGTGATCGAGCCCAGATATCGAGCCCAGGGTCGACGGCCTGAGTCGAAGCCAAGGACGAGGCTTAGTATCGAAGCCACGATCGAAGGTCCAGCTCGAGGGCCATGATCGAAGGCAAGGCTCGAGGGCCAGGATCAAGACCCAAGATCGAGGGTCACGATCGAAGTCCCAGGCTCGATGCCATGATCGAGGCCATGACCGAGTCCCAATCTCGAAGCCATGATTGAGGCCATGACCGAAGCTCAGGCTCGAGGGCCACGATCGAGGCCCAATTCTGNGAGGGTCACGATCGAAGTCCCAGGCTCGATGCCATGATCGAGGCCATGACCGAGTCCCAATTTCGAAGGCTGCCTGGGCAGTTTATAAAAGAGGACATTCGTCTCATTTGCCATTTTTGACGAACATGAGTTTGAGCAGAGGCGACCTTTGACAGATTTTCAAGGGAAAAATATTGGGGTAAGTGATTCTAACTCGGATTTGGTCTACATATACAAGTATATCATTGTTTTTACCATAAATTAGTGTTTTGAGATTTAAATTTGGAAAAATTTTAAAAATCTGATAGAAACGAATTTTGGAGATTTCGGTATCGATTTAGAGTCAGATTTGAGTGAAACTGGTATGGTTGAACTCGTAATTGAATGGATTGTCGGATTTTTTAACTTTTGCTAGATTCCGAGATGTGGGCCCCGCGGATGAATTTTTAATTAATTTCGGGATTTTATTGAAAATATAGTATTTTCTTATAGAATTAATTCCTATAAATTTTAGTGATTGTATCGAATTAGTTTTGGTTAGATTCGAGCCAATCGAAGTTGGATAATCGAGAAAAAGACCTACTAGTGGATTAAATTGGAGCAAGACGAGGTAAGTCTCTTGTCTAATCTTGTGAGGGGAAAATTACCCCATATATGATTAAATTAAATAATTATTGCTAATTGTGGGGGCTACGTACGCATGAGGTGATAAGAGTCTGTGCGTAGCTACTATTAATGCTAAAGTCCGGGTAGTTTAGGACTCAAAAGCATAAATTACTTGTATAAATTGTAGTCTTTACTTAATTAAATTATTTGATATATTTATATATATGTTGTGAATTGTTAGATAAAAATATTAAAGGATGAAAATCTCATATGCTTGAATTTCTATTTAAATTAATTAATTGTTAAGAGAAATTGTTCTTCCTCCCGAATTTATCTTTTAATAAATATACTCTCCTTCCGGNGTGCTTGATAATAATAAAAATTACATGATACTTGGACAGTTTATTACAGCTTGTAAAGCTATTTGATAAATTGAAAATTTATTGAAATTGAATTGCAGCTTGTAAATCTATTTGATAAATTGGAAGTTTTATTGAAATTGAAGGAATTAATTAATAGATTAGAAATTGTTGTATTTAAAAGATTTTTATTATTTCTGCTAATTGAATAAAATTATTGTTAACTCTGTGAATCATGTTGATTTGAATAATTATAATTTATTCCATTTATTATTGATGACCCTTAGTGAGTGTCAAAGTCGGCTATCTCGTCTCTACCACTTCGAGATTAAGTTTGATACTTACTTGGTACACGTTGTTTACGTACTCATGCTACACTTGCTGCACTTTTTGTGCAGGACCTGAGGCAAGTACTAGTTGAGAACCTATCATCTTACACCCACGTTATCCAGGGGCATAGTGGTGAGCTGCCTTTCTGAGCCGTTCTGCAGCTACCAGTGTCTCTCCTTGTATTTTTCATTCTGTCTATTTTTATTTCAGACAGTATTTGAGGTTTTGTATAATCTACTAGATGCTCATACACTTGTGACACCAGGTCTTGGCACACATATTGGTAGAATTTAGTGTCTTATTATTTTTCTTGGAGTTAAATTTTATCGATATATGTTTAATGTATTAGTTGGCTTGCCTAGCTATAGTGTTGGGCGCCATCACGACCTATAGGTGAAATTGGGTCGTGACACTATATTTGTGGTGCAGATCATTTAACTGATGTTTTCATTCCTTGTTTTCTTTCTCCTATTTCTCCTATGCAGTTTTATTTCAATGCATTATCTTTTCCTAAGCAAAAACTGCTCACTTCTCTTCCCTCATTCAAGAACCTTCTTCCTATTCCAAGGCAGCCATGCATCCAGGCTTGCAAGAAGCTATGTCCAAAGATATTGATTCTTTAATCACCAATGAGACCTGGGAAGTAGTTCCTTTACCACAAGGTAGGAAGGAACTACCTTGTAAATGGGTTTACAAAGTGAAACTCAAATTTGATGGTAGCCTGGAGAGATTAAAAGCCCGGTTAGTCATTCGAGGGGACATATAAAGGGAAATGATTGATTTCATAGAGACTTTCTCCATTGTGGTCAAAATGACCACTATCCAATGTATCTTAGCCTTGGCGGTAAGGAAATATTAGGGGTTGCATCAGTTGGATGTCAATAACGCATTTCTACATGGTGATTTGTACGAAGAAGTGTATATGAAGTTTCCTGCTGGGCTACTACCTCTTGCACCTAACATGGTTTGTCGACTTAAAAAGTCCTTATATAGGCTTCGTCAAGCCTCAAGGCAGTGGTATGCTAGGTTGACATCTGAGCTGAATTTTAAAGGCTTCACTCACTCTCTAGATGACTATTCTCTCTTTTATAAGAAGGTCGGTTCCTCTATTTCTTTGGTGGCCGTCTATGTGGATAACATATTCTAACAGGGAATGACATGCAAGAGTTGAATGAGCTAAAATAGTTTTTAGACTTAGAATTCAAAATTAAGGATGTGGGAAGTTTATCTTACATCTTGGGGATGGAAGTGCTTCGCCTTGATTCTGGTCTGATTTTGAGCCAACGCAAATTCGCCATGGAGCTGGTTTCTGAGTTTAATTGTTGTGGTCTGTCTCCAGCTAATTTACCTCTGGACCCATCGTGCAAACTTCATGCTGATCAGGGTGATCTTTTGTCTGATCCAACTTTGTATCGCCGATTGTTGGGCAAGTTGAACTTTTTGACTCACATGTGCCCAGATCTATCCTTCGCGGTCCAACATCTAAGCCAGTTCATGCAAGCCCCTCGTGATCCTCATCTTTCTAATGCTAAACATTGCCTTCGCTATCTTCTTCGTGACCCTGGTTTAGGTCTCTTTATGTCTAATTCTCCTTCATTTGAGCTTATTGCCTTCTGCGATTCTGACTGGGGTTCTTGCCCTGATTCTAGGCGTTCCATTAGTAGTTTTTTCATCAGTCTTGGTGGTTGCCTTGTTTCTTGGAAATCAAAGAAACAACCCTTTGTTTCTTTGTCTTCTGCGGAGGCTGAGTATCTATCTATACGTCACGTGGTTGTTGAGATTACTTGGCTTGTCCATTTGCTTGACGATCTCTCCATTTCGCCTCAGTTGCTGGTTGCTCTCCACTTTAACAGTCTGGCGGTCATCTATATCGCTAAGAACCCTGTCTTTCACGAGCGCATCAAACATGCTTCCTCATAAAGTTCTGTCATAATTTTCGACAATAATAATTTTCATGCTTTTCTTTTTATTTGGATCGATGGCCTGTAACAGATCCCATGTATCATATGCATCAATGCCAAGTCTAAATTTGGAGCCGATAGCACACAAAACGCAAAAAAGCTATACACACTCATGTATATGACAAATCATACTAATTTACTACAGTCATGTGATAAATAGAAGTGATAACGTAGGCTATTAATCAAGTTAAATTATAAGTGATAAATGTGTACCTAAACAAATACACATCATATATTAATTTAATACTTATAGACATCGCGTGTGCATATTTTTTGGTTTCCACTCAAATCAGCGCAACAATAACACCTTTTGCCTAATGAGACATGCACATCCATGGTTATGCACGTAAAATTAGAGAATATCTGGTTGTACTATAAAAAATACACCTCTTTTAACTAATTTGGTAAACAGAAACAATCTGCGTATGAATATTATTATGCTTGTTAATCAAAATAAAGTGAACGATATTACATACATGAAACCCTTAAACGATATTATATTTCTTTATATTTATATCACTCATCACTGATGATTGATGAGACATTATCTAACTAAAACGAGTAGTAAATTTTAAACATAAGAAAATAAAGAAGAAACATTCGACATCACTAATACGAGTAGTAAATTTTAAACATAAGAAAACAAAAAAAGAAATATGCCCCGCCCTTTCCTTCGCTACTAGATATTTGACATCACGCGGAACCTAATGTTAGTAAACTTCGACAATTTAACTTCCTTCTTTTAAATTTATTGCTAAGTAGTATAAATTTTTATTTAACAATATTTACCAGCTTATAGCATACATGTCGAAGTTGTTCTAGATTTTGAAATTTTATCATAATTTAACTTAGCATATTAATTGACTTTGATAACAAAAATAGAAGGTATCATAATACTTAAAGAAAATCACTTCTAATAACTGAATATCAAAACGTTATTGCCTTCCTTTTCTTTTTCTTTTTTATACTGAAAACCATTACTCCTTTCCTGTTGTTTATTTCTTTTTTACTTTCTCTTCCTCGATTGTACACGTTTTTTTAGCACTAGGGGAGTATAATTTTTTTGATGGCATGCGTGCAAAAATCTTAGCAAGAAATTATTCAAAAGAAGAGGAAAGTAACTAATACCCACCAAAAATTGTGATCACCATAACCTAAACATTCACCCAACAATTCATACCTTCTCTCAGGAAAAAGAAAGACCTATAAGCACTCATTTACTAACACTACGCAGCAATTATTGGTATGAAAGATTTAGCAACTCAATAATGAAAAAACAATGATAATATAAAAATCATCAATCATCTTAGTTGATATTTTCAATTTCAGATTTATTCATTGCTAAAACTTCACAAGTAACAAGAGCTCAGCCTCTGGTTCAATCGATAGATAGGCCGAAAACATATTTCTGGACAAATACACAGACCTTTTCTTACTTGACTTGCCAACCGAGCGATAGGGAAAACTTATAGAGGGGTGATCTTACTACGACAAGTGAAGCCAGGGTTCCCTTTGTTCGGTGTCCGGGGAAGAGAAAGGACATGCTTATCTTTTACATAGATTATAAAATAAAAATAAAAATAATTATATAATGATGAACATTGATCCCATTTAGCTAGCTCATTATGAAAACATTATGCACATAGAAATCCTCATATGCTTTATTGTGATTTCTTAGGACTTCTTCTGGAATATCTTACAAAAATTATTACTGTTGTGTAACTTAGTACTCGAAACAAACAAGTGACACAATAATAATTCATTGCAATTCTTCGAAGATTTTTCAAATAAAGAAAATTAAAATATTAAATCTTATCTTTTAGACATTTGGGAATGTAGATGTCGGCTCTATAGCTCCGCGGAAAGAAAAATATAAGTGATAATGTAAAGTCTAAAAATTGACCAATGTTGAGTTAATATTTTATAATACATCACTTAATAAATAAAAGAATATAGGAACTTATCATTTGTTGGATAAACGCAAAGGAAAAACAAATTAATGATAACTCATTTATAATATCTTCTTTTCTTTTACCATCAATATTATTATGTACGCTACAAGTTTTGGAATTATGATGAATTTGTAAAATATCTGAATTGAATTTTCTATCTAATTAGTTGATTCAAAAACTTATTTTGTTAAATTAGTTCAAAAATTTAATTATTCATTCTCAACATTAGAGGAAATAGTTTTTCTTCATTCAAATTCTTAATATTAATTAGATCATTTTAAATTTAATATTTAACTACAACTATATTATTATCCAATAAGAATTTTATGTTCAAAGGATAAAAATATCGACATGACATTTCACGTAGACATTTTAGTTATTTTTAAAACTTTAAATATTAAAAAGATAATTAAATTATAAAGTTTTTTCAAAGTAAAATCTATTTGTATATACAGGATAAAAATATTGACAAACATATGATTATAATAAATTCTAAAATTTAATTATTTTTAATCACTTTATTTGTCACGACCCAAAATCCACCAAAGGTCGTGATGTCTTCTAAACCCGCTGTCAGGCAAGCCAACAATGGATGATTAACTTAATTACTCATTTTGGTATTTTTGAAATCATAATTTTTATCAATTAAGTAGTAAGAATTTTTTTTTTACAGGGTTAACTGATAATATTTCCACAACTACAATAATGAACCACCTATAAGCACCCCCCCAAAACCCGATATCACAAGTGCATGAGCGTCAACTAGGAAATATAATACAATACAACATCTGTTTGGAGTACAAATTAGACAGAAAAATATATAAATAACTCTGATGGAGACTCTGCAGGTTGCGGGTCGTAACATGAAATGCAGCTCACGGTAAGTCCCCGCAACATCCTTGCTTCTGTGCCCAGAAGACCACCAGACATATATGTACCTACACAAAAATGTGCAGCAAGTGTAGTATGAGTACGTAAATCAACGCGTACCCAGTAAATATCTAGCCTAACCCCAGAGAAAGTAGTGACGAGGGGTCGACATCGACACTTACTAGTAGTCCAGTAAGACAGATACAGTAAGAAGTAAACAGATATGGGCATAGTAAATAAACGAAATGAACAAATATAAATACGTGGTACAATCCTCCTCTCTACAATAAACTCAAGCTCTCAATTAGTAATTTTCTCCTCAACCGGAGCATGTATATATATATATATACTGGATCTCATCAAGCAGGTTGTTATAATTCGAATCAGGGGGAAATTTACAGATACCCCGGCTTCTTGCTAAATATTACGCATGATTCCATGAGGATATGATATA